GGAGGGTTGAGGTTTCCTTCAGCTTGCAAATAGAGTACCCAGGGCTCACTTTGATCCTGTCAAGAATTGGTTTTAGACTTTATTGTGGCTGCTCCGTTTCAGTTTAGTCCTTACTCATGGTGTAGTCCTTATTCCCAAGGTAAGGGAAAAACAAAAGAAGAGCTCCTTTTTCAATTCTGAAGGGTATTTTCACTCATTACAGAATTCTTTTTGCACCGTTGTTCCTTTCAGCACTTTAAAGTTGTTGCTCCATTGTCTTCTAACTTCCATTAGTGCTAATAAAAAGTCAGTTGGAATTAATTCATATTCTTGTTCCCCTGTATTTAATGTAACATTTTTCTCCAGATGCTCTAGAAAGTTCTCTCCTTATCTTTGGCTTTAAATAACTTGATCATGATGTACGTAGATATTATATGCTTTTGTATTCATTCTGCTTGGGGTTTTCTGACCCTTGAGTCTGTAAATTAATATGCCCTATCAGACAAATTTGGTACAGCATTTCTTCTAATATTTGTACCATTTTCTCTAAAATTTCACTTGCACAAATGTTAGACCACTTGGTGTTATCCCATAGACATCTGAGATTACATTTATTTAATTTTCAGTATCTTTTCCCTCTGTTCTTCAGATTAAATAACTTCTGTCTTTAACTTCATTGCCCTTTTCTTCTGTCAATTTCATTCCAATGTTATGCTCATTTAGTGAATTTTTCATTTCAGACATTTTAGTTTCTGGGTCAGTTTCTTATGGCTTCCATTTCTCTACTGAGATTCTCCATCTATTTATTCATTGTGATGATATTTTCCTTTAAATATGTGAACATAGTTATATAAGGGTTACTTTAAAATTTTTTTCCTGCCAGCTCCTATAATTGGGCCATCTCAAAGAGAATTTCTTTTGACTTCTTTCTCTCAAGTATGGGCCACAATTCTCTGGCTTTTCTCTTGACTATTTTTTCTTAATATGTATTAATAAAAAACTTTCATTAATATGTATGTTTGACCTTTTGAATGATACTTCATTTAATGGATGCTGATTTTATTGTTGTAAATTCCCCCGTGGCCTGTTTGGTTTGTTTCTATTCTTTGTTACAGCATGTGATATAGGGAAACAAAATTTTGACTTTTGTCCTAAGACATGCTTTTCACATTCAGGCATGATCCTAACTTTAAAATGGTGACCTTCACAGCATCTCAAGTGAATGACTGAAATGCTTAATAAGGAAGTCCAGTGTCTCTCAAAACTGAACGGCATGTAGCAGGCAATGTCCTGCAGAGATTTTCAGTCTTATTTCTATAGTCACCACAGCTCTTGGCCAAGGACCCCTAGTGAATACCCATGTAAAAGGTAAATACCCTTTTTCACCACTGCCTGATTTCAGATATGCTACTCTGACAACTGCAGCTGCTTCTACAGCCCAAAACTCCAGTCTCTCCCTCCTTAACTGAGACTACTGCTCTGCACGGGTTCCACTTCTTGCACTCCGGGAAAAAAGTGCCCTTCATTGGAAAAAACAGGACCTGTATGTAATAGTTGTGGAGCACACTTCCTGTGCTGCCTCTTCTCTCAAAGATCACATCGGTGTGGTACCTATTACCCAATGCTTGAAAAGGTTTGCCTCAAATATTTTGTCCAGTATTTGAGTTCTTCCAATAGGAAAAATCAGATTCCTATATTCTCATGGCTGGAAGCAAGTCTTTGGTACACATTGAACACGCATTGAGATTTAAATTACTGAATTAGGACTTTTCTAAAAGCAATTTCTGAGAAAGAATAGGTACGAGTGTGCTTAATCAAAATTTTAGGAGTGAATAAAAGTGAAAGGGAGCAGTGCTTTTAAGGACATGGAATATAAACTTCAAATTTCAAACTTAACCTATATATATGATGCTCTCAGTTGGATAGGCTAAATGAAAAATGATATATATACTATGTTGTTATTTGATATATATTCTACATTGTTATGTATATGATACTCCTAGATTTAGAAAGTAAAAATGAATATGTTTTTTTCTTTCCCATCTTTGACCTGTCTTGTTAATACACAATGTTCTTTCTTCAGGTCACTGAATTTAAGTTGGAGATACCGGACCTTTGAATCATTGGTTAGTGATTAGTTAAATTAGGTGTCACTGCCTTAGGAAGAAGCCAGTTCAGACAAATGCAAATGTCTACTTGGTTGAAGTAACTCTCCATTTTTAAAGGGTGGAGATGGTTTGGTAGTAAATTAGTTCTCTCTCTTCCCTGGGAGATTAGACAAAAACAATAGATCTAACTATGAAAATAGACTGACTCATTTGGCTACAGTGCTATACTGAAGTTACAAGCAAACCAACATTAATCTTCAGAAAAAGAACTGGGTTCTGTAAATTGTAGGTGAGTTTTCCAGTTAGTTCTGAGAGTTCTCATTGAAGAAACCAAAAGTCAGACATTAAATTCTACTGAATTCATAGATATAGAGGCTCTCTGAACACTCTTTCCTTACCTCATCTTCTGCTATAGCAAGGCTGAAGTCATACACAATTTACTGCATTATTTATTAACTCCTCTTTAGGATGCAGTTTTTATTTAGCAAGAGAAGTGAGATTTGCAGTAACTTTCCTAATTTCTAGAATATTTCCCAACTTCACAGTGGTGAACGCTGTCTTCAAAGTGAAGGGTCCATCAAGAGAACAAGGACAAATGAGGGAGGAAAGCTGGACCTGTTGGGCAGGAAGTTGTACAGGGCTAATAATGGGTCATAAGTGAACAGTGGAGAGTGTGAGGGAGACAGAATCACAGATATGGAAGAGAGACGAGCCATCTGGTCCAGACTGTCTCTAGATAGGTCAGAAAGGGGTGTTTGGGTGGACATTTTTCACATCTGAATTTAGCTTATCTTAAAAATTTTCAGCCTTTTGCCTTTCACCAAAGCTGATTTCTTCTGAGCAAGTCGTATGGTACTTCGGCCCCAGGATGAAGTCCTTTGGAGTGGATTTAATTAGTCTGAGGGATGGTCCCTTTTTTTTCCCAGGATGTCTGTTTCAGGTTTAGGTCATTCCGTTGGCCTCACCGATAACTGAAGGGCAGATCCCCTGGCCACTCAGTAATTCCCTGGGCGGAGAGGAAGGGCCGACGGTCACATCCCATGTATTTCTGACTCCCCTCAGCTGTGAGGACACGCTGTGCCGAAGTGAGTGGAACTTTGAGCAGAGGAGGTTTTTTGTTGTTTCAGGCCTCATTGTCCAGAAGAGGCGCATACAAGTGCCTACCCTTCTCAACGTACACCTACACACCCTTATATTCTTAGTTGGCATAAGTCAAATTCTGGTAACTAACATTTCCTCTGGGGCCCATCCCTCCTACATATCCCAGACGTCTGGATTTACTGACTGTAGAACCAGGAGGGTAGAAGTAGATTTTAGCTTATTCTTCTGCTTCATCCAGGCAAGAAGTTTATGAGCATAAGCATGGAGGTAAATGAGGTATTTGCCCTGTTTGGTGATGCCTATCTCAACACTTCCCCTCTCCCGCCCCACCTCCATCCCACCAGTATGTGCACGTGCTGGAAGCAGAAACGCAACCCCCACCCCTGCCGCGCACCCCCCTGCTCCTCCCTCCACCCAGCACAGACTAACCAGAACTTCCCCTGGGTCGCGGCCCAGCGATACGGAGCAGAGCGGCCCTGGCGCGGAGCCCTTCTCTTTCCGAGTCGTGGGTGGCGCGGTGCTTGTTTCCCTCCCCTCCCTTTCCGGACCCGAACGGGGATGTATCTGGGTCAGCCTGGGAGGGGCCAGACCTGCCAGGGATCGGCGGGGGGAAAGGGGTGGCGATGACAGCATCTTTCAGGTTTTTGGCGTTTCTGAGCTTCGTCCCGTCCAGTTTCTCATCTCTCTCGCACCCAGCCAGTCAGGCTCTAGGAGTGGGTGCAGGGAGGGCCCGTCCTTGCTATCTGGGACCGCCAACCTCCACACGCTGCAAACAGTGCTTCCCCACCCCCACCACGCACACACATTCTCTCTTCCCCATAGCAGGCTCCCCGGGCAGGAGACGGGTCCCTCCGCTCCAGGAAAAGAGCGATGGAACAGTTCACGGCCGCCGCGAGTTCCTGGTCTTCCTTCCTTTCCGGTGATAAACGGCGGGGCTACAAGCCAGTTGCTGCACAAGATGCTCCACCCGCGGGCCCCAGCCTATCTTGGCTCTCTGTGGGGACCCGATGCAGGACCGAGGGTCTCTTCACTTCCTCAAGGAGCAAAGGCTGAGCGCCAAGGCAGTTGGCGGCCCGACCAGGGTTGGGGTGCAGACCCCCGGCGGGCTCCTTGCACGCTGCCTCGGTTCCTCCCTACGTGATCTTTTGCGCTCCGCAGCGCCGGGGAGGAGCTGGGTGTGCGTAAAAACCGCACCTTCCCCAGACGCTTTGGCTGAGGACGCCAAAATGAGGTCTGGAGGGTCACTGATCTTCCATGCTCTCCTCCCCAAGAGCGCAGTACCGAGGAACCAGGGCCGCAGGTCTTCGCTCCCCGGGGCCTGGCCCCCTCCCTAACCTTGCCCTGCATAGTCGGCAGCTCCAAATTGCCAAGGGCTCGCTCTCCCTCTTGGCGTTAGGGAGAGAAATGGAGCAATGAGTTGCAAATCATCTCTGGATTCTTTCGTCCTGTACACAGTCATCTCCTCATCCTCCCTTCATTTCCCCACACTGCTCTCTCCGGACTTCTGTTTGCCGGAGGGCAGCCTTGACTATCCGGAACGGCAGCCCTGTGACTGGAGCCCATAGGTTCTCTTTGGCCAGGAGCTTCCCAAATGATGCCTGCTTCCGAGGGTGCTCGAGGCCACGCAGAGGTGTTCCTCCTCCCCGCCTCACCTCCCTCCCACACATCTCTTGCCATCATTTCCTCCACCCTTGCATGAAGCCCCGCACCCCCACCCCCGCCCGGCGCCGCGCCCCCTCCCTCGGCTGCGCCCCGGCGGGCGGGGAGCTGAACGGACAGGGGCTCGCGGGCTGCGCGCAGAGCTCTCCGCGGCCCGCGCTCGCCGCGCCTGGGCACTTCGGCTGTGGGCGAGGCGGCCCGCCTGGCCTTTATCGCTCGCCGTGCCGGTGGTTTGAAACTTTATCAGCGAGTCTCGCCACTCGCCGCAGACGCGAGCAGGGGGCGGGGGCGCGGCGAGGCGCCGGCGGCCGTGACGAGGCGCTCCCGGCTGAGCGCTTCTGCTGGGGGCACGCATGGCGCCCGCACACGGAGTCTGACCTGATGCGGACGCAAGGGGGTTAATATGAACGCCCCTCTCGGTGGAATCTGGCTCTGGCTCCCTCTGCTCTTGACCCGGCTCACCCCTGAGGTCAGCTCTTCATGGTGGTAAGTGCACGCGCACCCGGCGCGGGGGGATGTGGGCGCTGGGAGCGGGGACCGCGCTGCCCCGCAGACCCTTCTCGGCAGCGCTTCCCCGCGGCCGCAGCGGCCACAGACTCTGGCCCGAACCTGGCCGCCGGCCTCTCCCATCGCCCCGTACTGAGCCCCCTTCGCTTGTACTGGAAAGACCATTCCAGCTTTGACAACTCGAAAAAAAAAAAAAGAAAAGAAAAACAAAAAACCAGCACACATCCCCCTCATATGAGAGCTCCGATATTTGGTTTATTTGGACCCAGATGAGCGACAACAGAATCAGCCAATTTTTTGTCCCATTGAGAGACACGCTAGCTGGGTTTCTAGCTCCCTAGCGCAGATTGTGGGGTGTGTGTGTGTGTGTGTGTGTGTGTGTGTGTGTGTGTGTGTGTGGCGTGGTGTGTTCTTGAAAGCTACAACCATCTATGCTCTATCCCTTCCCACCAAAAATCTGCCGCAAGATAAACCGACTGGCCAATTCAGGCAGCCAAGAGCTGTAGAACCCAAAGCGTGAGATTTTGCCTTATTTCCCCGTCCTTCCACATTCCTAATGCTTCATCCCCCGTGGGGCGTTAAGAACATTTTGCTGCCTCCAGGTAGAGACTACCGCCTTAATGCAAAGCTCCAGGCCCCTGGGGCTCTAGTCTACAATGTTACCCTGTGCAAAACCCCAGTCACCCCAAAGACTAACCTAGCTGCTGTCCTTTGTACGTTGATCTGCAATTTAGTTATTTTGCATAATGAAGGAATGTTGAAATGTAACAGGTCTTCGCATAATCGAAAGTTCCAAAGAGAGATTCTCTCCCCACCCGCATGTCTTCATCTCCCAACCTTACGATCTTAAAAAGAGATGAAGTCGAGGGCTCTGAAACACCCTTGTGCCTCACAGTTTCTGAACAGATACTAAAACACTGATTCAGAAAGACCTGTTATTGTGGGCCGTTTTTTAAAGTATCTGACAAAAGTAAGAAGTTTCAGTAAATGAAAGACTAGAGCAGGGAACTTTAGGACGACACTAGTGCTCTTCAAAGGAGCAAGGCAAAGCATTGATGGGAAGAGGGTTCGATTCCTTCCTGAGCCGCTTGGAACAGAAAGGTGTTTAGCTTTGACATTGCTGACACAGAATCAAGGACTGATTTATCAGTGACCATTTTTCAATAAAATGACTATTTCTGTTTCCATGGGTGTGTAAACATTATTTATTGCCCAGGCTTTTTGTCACATTGTCTCACAGTTGTCACTTAAATATATTTTTTGGAAGTCACAGCTGTAATGATTTTATGATCATATAAAATAATGAAAATACAAGAAAAAGACATTTTCCTTGTTTGAGCGCTTCAAAAGACACCTATGGCAGCTTGGGTTATATAAAAGGTACCTTTCTAAACATTTCATAACTAATAGAGAACATCTGGGTAGAAATGATGATGTAATTTTTCGTTAAAGTTTCTTTTTATAAGTACTTTATGGAGCTATAACATTGATTCTCCCAAACATTTAGTGTCCTTAATAACAATAGAATTTTTTTCCAAAGGTTCTTTATAAAAGCCAAAAAGAACTAGAAAATGGAAATATTTAAAGGATCCTTTAGAAAGGAAAGAACTGCATATCTATGAGGAGAGTGTAACATCAGATACCAGCAGGTGTTAATTAGACAGATACAGACAGTTCTTTAAGACACTTAACCATTATGGGAGTGAGGTGCTTCTAAAGGTCAGCTTCCCCGAAAGCCAAGTCAGACACATTGTGTCACTGAGATCAAAACCTTCCTGGAAAAGCGTCTGAAGCATTCTTTCCAAAACATTTGCCCCTTCTCTCCTCGTAACATGGCGACTACAGGTATTGCCTCTACCACCCTGGCCAGAGCATCATCTGGAAGCTTCATGTCCAAGATACAGTCATCGCCCCCCCTTTAGGATGGCCTCTACCAGATCACCCGCCCTGCCTGCTGGGCTGTTCCACTGAGCTCAAGTGAAGTAACGTTTGCTTTCTAATACCCCCACAAGGACAAGGAATTCATAATTGAAATATACTTTGAACTCATCGGCCCTCCAGGACCACCCTGGGCCAGACCTCTCTGTTCACGGCATTCTCACCTCTGTGTTGGTCCTTCCCAGGTACATGAGAGCTACGGGAGGCTCCTCCAGGGTGATGTGCGATAACGTGCCAGGACTGGTGAGCCGCCAGCGGCAGCTGTGCCACCGCCACCCGGACGTGATGCGTGCGGTTGGCCTGGGCGTGACCGAGTGGACGGCGGAGTGCCAGCACCAGTTCCGCCAGCACCGCTGGAACTGCAACACGCTCGACAGGGACCACAGCCTCTTCGGCCGGGTGCTGCTCAGGAGTAAGTCTCCTGCCCGCACACGCTCACCGCCCCCCACCCCCACCCCCACCACCTTGGTCTTCAAAATCCCTGCACATCTTTTCCTACGTCTCATTCAGTCAGAAACTAGTTCTGTCAGGTGGCACTGCTGTGTTTTACAGATGAGGATTAGAAAAATCAAGAAACTTGTCTGATGTTTTGTGGGAGGCCAGTCATAGATTAGTATGTAGTGCCCCAGGCTGGTGTCCTCTGACTCTCTGCTCTGCGTCACTGACAACCCAGCCCGGCCCTGCAAGTTCAAATTTTGTCTCTAGGAGAAAGAAAGAAGGCACCCCAGGGCTCTTTTGACTGTTTTTACTCTTCTTTCTGGGACTTGAACCTTCTAGAAGGAAACAGATCAGGACAGAGTGCCCAAATCTGTTATCAGCCAAAGGTGGTTATTACAAAAACACCATGTGAGTGTTTATGAAGAAGCGGGACAAACCTCTGCGCAACACCTTTGACCTCCCATTCGGCTATCAGCCTTGGGTCATTCTGGGTCTAAGTCCAACATTTGTTTCAGGAGGTGACATGTTATGTAAGGCAGAGGTCAGCCTGTCTTCACGGCACTTTTCTTGGTGCCTGTGTGTTGCAGGCACCACTCACTCATTGAATGGTTGAATGAATGAATGAACAAATGAACGAACAAATGAATGAACTTGTAGTGAGTGCCTATCATTTTCCAGGTATATTTTGGGCAGAAGGATATTGTTGGAGGATAGGGGTACAAACCATGAACACACAGTTTAAAAATACCTACCCCTTAACCTGGTATTATTAGCATTCTTTGATAAGTAGTACAGCCCATTTGCTACCAAGAAATCTGATTGTAAACACAACAGTTTATGTGTGAACCCAGACAGGAAACTTTACACTTGTTTTTGCCCACTCCCCCATTCCTAAGAAAGTTATCCAGGCTATGTACTTGGTAATGCTTAACAGAGGGTGTTTCTATCATGTAATCATCACAACCCTAGGGTTTTATGAGGCCAAATACATAACTGAACATCTCTAAAATCCCCCAAGGGTGTAGTACTCCCACTCTTAGTGTATCCCTCAAGTTAATTTACTGTGATATTCTGCAATTTTATTCTCTAGTTTAAGAACTATATTCTTCTGCATTCCTTTTAAAGTTTCGATATGACATCGCAGATTTTTGAAAGGTTAATAGTATATTTCAGCTACATGGAATTTGAAGACTTCACCTAGATTAGCTCACCAGTGAATCAATTAAAGTGCTGGACCTTGTCAAAGAGAGTTTGCAAGTATCTAGTACACATAATCTTTGGATATATTTTGTACAGGCTCTCAGTGTTTAAGACTTATCAAGATTTTTCCTTTCCAAAGTGCTTACAACCATTTTCCAATGATGGCAAATGAAATGTACTTCTCATTTATAAAATGATCACCTATAAATTCTATGAAATCCATTAAGATGTCTCCATATTGAAAAAAACCCTTGAGATCACAAATCCAGGGAAGCAAGTTTTGACCACTGATGCTACATATGGTGTATCAGGCAAAGCTAGGGATTCATTCACAAAATAATTTAACTTAATCTTGGCAATGTTTGTTTCCTCAAAGCTGTAGAATTGCTAAGAGGGAAGAAATTAGAACTAAAGGAAATAGAACTAGTTTGACTTAGTCTAAGGTCTCAGGTAAATAAGAGACTTGTGCTTCCTTCAGAGTTCTTTCCAACAAAGCTGATTGCTTTGCCAAGGTACTCAGAACTTAAAACACTTGTGATACACAATTTCTTTCCATTCTTCATGGAGGGCCAGATTTCTTCCTGGACATTTATGTAAACTCCTGTGACTGTCAGTGATGATTTTGTGTTGGTTATAGGAGGGCTGAATTTGGCCTAAAGTAGTTTATCCTGGAAATAATCATGAAATTCCAATGAAGCTCTCCAAAGATTTTTCAATTAATTGCTTGGAGGGAAATTCACATTTTAGAGTCATGAACTCTCCTTTGGAAACCTAAATGTCCTTATAGATGAAGAGGAAAGGCAAGGGGCAACACCATTTACAGAGAGGACATAAAAGTTACTAACATACCCTGGGGTCCCAGAGAAATGGAGACCATTTGCCTTTTGTGCCTAGGAGAGCTGGAGCAAGACAGAACAGTTCTGAGGAACATTTGTAACTCACTCACTTAACAGACCATCACCAGTCATGCTGGACAAACTTAAAGACAAAACTAATAAACCCAAAAATATGCCTGGAAGAATATACTTCCAGAAGCCTAGAAGAAGCCTTAAGAAAACACAAAGGTGATTAGATCTCATCCTTGTAAATATAAAAAAATATAAATATATAAAATTTGAGAAGAAGCCTTAAGAAAACACAAAGGTAATTAGATCTCATCCTTGTAAATATAAAAAAATATTTTTAAAAAATTTGAGAAAAAAAAAGACAAGCATTTTAAAAGAAAGTTGAACAACCCATAACCTTCCAGAAAGTCTAGCTTCAAGTGTTTTGCCTTCCCAGCCTATGCCTATACACTGAACAGACATTTGTTGACTTGTCTCCACCCCAAATATAGAGAAACTTCAATGGTAACACATCAAGAAGTATAAAGATTATCATTTAGAGGAGGATTTTGTTTCATATTGTGATGGTTTAAAAAGAATCAGTTTTTCTAAGAAGAGGCCCAGGATCACAATTTGTTTTGTTACAAAGCCAACTCTTGAAATGCACTACTATTTCACACATAGCATTTTAGTGATTCATCTAAGACACTTAACTGAAAACATCTTAAGGCTGTATCTGTGTGATACTAAAACATCTGGAGGTAAAATGAAAAGTCAGTCAATGTGCTAAATTTTGTATTTAAATATATAAACATCTAGCCATTTAGTACTGTTTGAATAATAAATGATATTTAGAAAGGTGATAAATATTTAGAAAAATGATAATTTGCATTGCAAATTACTTCTGAAACAGATTTTAGTGATTTTTCTTCTTTTAGCCAACAAGGAAATGTAATTCTATGTTATACCAGGATGAATTCTGCACCTAGACAATTTATTCCTCTACTGCTTTCAAAATGCTGTCTGGTCACATGTGACATATCTATCATCCACATCTTTCATCTTTTCCCCTAAAAGACTACCCCATAAAATTTTTCTTCTCTCTACTTTAACTCTGAGACTAGTGCTAAGTACATGAGCATTTGGAATTTTTCTATGGGATCTCTCAAATGTGGTCACTGAACTCTAAACCCAAAACCAGGATGTAGCCGGTCAATGGGGAAACTATGGACAAGGTATTTTCCTTAAATATAAAATGGGTATAATAAAAAAATTTTATTTATCTGAAAGCCAATATTTGAGATTAAGCCACATTAGCATCTATTAGTCACCTTCTTTTATAAAACATCTCAATTCCATTTAGAAAATCTTTGATCCTTATAATCTGGGACTTCTTAAAACACTTTCCATGACCACATTTCTGTCCGGAGTGTGCTACCTGCTCCCTATGGCAATATTCCTATTGATTTTACCTACCTACAGGGGTGTGATTGATTCCTTTTTCTGATAGTTAGAGGTTTTGGTGGAGGTATTTTTTGAAGGTTTTATTTATCTGAAAGCCAATATTTGAGATTAAGCCACATTAGCATCTATTAGTCACCTTCTTTTATAAAACATCTCAATTCCATTTAGAAAATCTTTGATCCTTATAATCTGGGACTTCTTAAAACACTTTCCATGACCACATTTCTGTCCGGAGTGTGCTACCTGCTCCCTATGGCAAATATTCCTATTGATTTTACCTACCTACAGGGGTGTGATTGATTCCTTTTTCTGATAGTTAGAGGTTTTGGTGGAGGTATTTTTTGAAGGCTGAGGTAAGTGCCATTTAATATGGTGTAGATATGTTTTCCTGATTTTTAATACTGAGACTAGCAGAACAAATATTTCAAGGGCTGTATAATAAATTTTAGCACTGAATGACAAACAGATACAAGCAGGGCTTCAATACAAAAAGGTGGTTTGCTCTCCCAGCTGTGTAGTTCAAAAAGTCACTCTCATCTTGACATCCGAATCACTTGAAAGGCTGTCCATTTTCTGCCTCACTTTGGTATTAGGTTGTTTGGCTTCTATTTTGATTGTTAATATATTTGCTGCAGCAACCATTAATAAAAAGGCATGCTAATAACAATGAAATACAGCTCCAGGTGAAAAATGAGGTGCACATAGACCCTAAAGAGCCTTATATCTGTCACTGGACCACAACACTGTGTTATGAGTTACTACAGATTATTAAAATAATTTAATGTAGTTATTGCACTAAAATATGTCCCTTTCAGCCTGTAAGTGAAAGTAGCCTGTACTCTAATAAAGAACAATTCTAAGAAAGCACCCCAAAGGGTTCTTGCCCAAGTCTAATTACAGACGGTAAATTTGTTTCTTTCCAGAAAAACCAAAGCAAAGCTTTTCACTGTCTTTTTTAACCAATGTTGGTGATTAGCGCAGGTGTTCCCGAAGAAAGTCCATTCACCTTAGCAGACATAGTAAGTAACTCAGATACTGCACACTGCCTTCAAAAATCTCTCCACACTTGTGAAAGTCGGTGCCAAGTCACACCTCTCCAGGGGTACAGCACAGGGCTGGTTATGGCAGGAATGCTCTTCCCGTCCCAGCCCCTAGATGTCTTTGAATTCAGTATTTCAACCTTGATCATCTAAATGCATAGGATATATGAAACAGTTGAGGGATGTAAAATGGTAAGAAGGTCTAGTATCTTGATCTGGGTGATGGTTACATGAGTGCATACATGTCAAAAATTAATCAAACTGTACACTGAGATGTGTGCATTTTTTATATTAGATGGACGTGATTTGAATTAAAGAACAAGTCTTGGCTGTAGAAGAGAATCCTTCAAAAGTACCAGTACCTTTTGGTCTAAGTGGCAACATCAGACAGAAGTGGAACAAGTATTCAGTAGCCGTCATGCAAAAGTTACTCAGAACGAGCAGTTTCAGACCCCTTCTAAGAAAAGCATTTTTGTTTCAGGTAGTCGGGAATCCGCCTTTGTTTACGCCATCTCCTCAGCTGGAGTTGTGTTTGCCATCACCAGGGCCTGTAGCCAAGGAGAACTAAAATCCTGTTCCTGTGATGCGAAGAAGAAGGGAACCGCCAAGGATGGCAAGGGCACTTTCGACTGGGGCGGCTGCAGCGATAACATTGACTATGGGATCAAGTTTGCCCGAGCCTTTGTGGATGCCAAGGAAAGGAAAGGAAAGGACGCCAGAGCACTGATGAATCTGCACAACAACAGAGCCGGCAGGAAGGTATGCAGGGCAATGGTGCTCATTTTGTAGACTGCATAGCCTCAGAAATGACTTAAGCCTAAGCCTTCCTAGAGTTCATAACATGCTATAGAGTCACAACCTCCCATGGTCCCACAGCCCTGAGCTGTGTGTTCTAATGAATGCCATGGACTGGGCTGAAATATCCCCACCCACACTTCACCTTCCTTCCCACACATGAGCTGAAGGAATCTGCCCATTGCCTTGGTCATTGTGTAGAATCAAGTGTTTCACGGCCCCTCTGAATACTGTATCATCCAGACAGAAGATGTGATCTGTGGGTAAGGCAGTCCTTCATCCCACCTACCAGTGAGACACTGAATGCCTTTACCTAAAGGATATCAAGACCCAGAGCATCTTTCTCTTATCATGAAAGCAACTCACCAGGCATGGCTCATTGGCATCTTCCAGATTCAGGGATGCTCTTTTCAGAACCAGACCCGGTCCTACTCACAATAGCCCCACCTTGTGGTTTCTGGCACTGAATAAGTGGACCAGGGGCAGACATTCCCAAAGAGGTACTCTGGCTCCTTATCCTCTAGTCCCGACTAACCTCCTGGGCTGTGGGTATCTGGTCAGTATTCACCCTGTACCCCCACATGTGTTAGATGCAGACAGGCCCTCAGGTGCTCAAGGTCACTTGGAAAGTCAATAAAAGAGTTAGGATTAGAATTCAGGTTTCAGCATCTAGCCCAAGGGTGTTCGGGGCTAGTATCAAACCATTCCAGAGCCAGTGATAAGCCATGTCTTTTCTGTACATCTGTGGTATGATCAGAAAAACTAGAGAATCTGAAAGCTGCATGTTCCACCCTTGTGTAAAAAGCATAAACTGGCTGTGGGCTGATCAAATATTTGGTCAGAACCATTCTAGAACAATGTAATTGCCTATGAGGAGAGATAACCATAATTTGTCTTTTATCGACACAAAATAAAAATATGCTTGATATTAATATATAAAGAAAGATCAGCATAAAATTGTGAGGTCCCCAGGGGGCCTTTAATAGAAAAAAGAATAGAAAAGAATGCAGATCTGTTTGTATGAAAACCCTTTTACTAGGCTCATGGAGAGAACAAATCTCATTTGAAGAAGTTGGAAGGAAAAAAAGTCTTGCTTAACACATGGAATTAGATGAGTGTGATCTGAACTGTTTACAAACAATAGCTTTCTTGAACTTTAAAAATCAACAGTCCTAATTATCATGAATTTATGAACTTTCAGTGACTACAGCCAAGAATATAGACTTCGGTTGTGCAATTCTGCAAACTATTGGTAATTACTGTTTGTACAATGGCTTAGATAAAAAAATTTACATTGACCTTTGTTTTGACATTGATACCGCATATATAAGTTATAAAGTGTGGTGTCTTTGATAGGAGTGTGCTGTTTAATTATTCAAGCAGGGGATATAGTTAGATCTGTAGACTATTTGTCAAAATAAAGGCATATGGTCATACATTGTATTCAAAAGAATGCTGACATATCAAAATAAATGTTACTTCTGCTTAATAAGTCATTAGATATTAAATGTTTCAACTCTTCAACACAATAGATCTTAGCTATTACATTGTAGGCCCAGGATAAACATGACTTTTAATGTAAATCACATGATTCTTCACTGTGTAGAGGTGAACAGCTGTCAGGCCTCAGATATTCTCCTGCCTACTCTGCAAAACTTAGGAGGCTACTTTTGATTGGAATAAAAGTGCACACACTGACTTTTTTAAAATATGGCTTTAATTAATGGTGGGTGGGCAGACTTTTTCAAGGAGATGTATGATGTCAGTGAATATGAACTTTAATGAGAGTAAATGTATTGAGATAAACATGCATCTCTAATTCTCTTCTTGTGGTCATTAGACCCCCAGACCCTGCTTCCCTTTCGTACCAGCAGAAGGTCTGTGGAATCAAAATGAGAACAGGCTGGGCTTGTGTTTGAAGGCAGACATTCTGAGCTAAGCCTCCAATTGGCCTGGCTCTAGAAAACCCCAGGCTCCCAGGGCTGACAGCAACATCAGTTCTTTTTCTTTTCTTCTTTGTACCCCTCAGTGTTTCCCAAATTGCCCAATATGAACATCTTATATTTTTTAAAAGGGGGGTGGGGGGAGGCCATTTTATTTAAAAGAAAAACCATCTATCCCAAGATAGTTACATTTAGCCAATGGTACAAGTTGGTCTATTCGACACAAAATAAAAATATGCTTGATATTAATATATAAAGAAAGATCAGCATAAAATTGTGAGGTCCCCAGGGGGCCTTTAATAGAAAAAAGAATAGAAAAGAATGCAGATCTGTTTGTATGAAAACCCTTTTACTAGGCTCATGGAGAGAACAAATCTCATTTGAAGAAGTTGGAAGGAAAAAAAGTCTTGCTTAACACATGGAATTAGATGAGTGTGATCTGAACTGTTTACAAACAATAGCTTTCTTGAACTTTAAAAATCAACAGTCCTAATTATCATGAATTTATGAACTTTCAGTGACTACAGCCAAGAATATAGACTTCGGTTGTGCAATTCTGCAAACTATTGGTAATTACTGTTTGTACAATGGCTTAGATAAAAAAATTTACATTGACCTTTGTTTTGACATTGATACCGCATATATAAGTTATAAAGTGTGGTGTCTTTGATAGGAGTGTGCTGTTTAATTATTCAAGCAGGGGATATAGTTAGATCTGTAGACTATTTGTCAAAATAAAGGCATATGGTCATACATTGTATTCAAAAGAATGCTGACATATCAAAATAAATGTTACTTCTGCTTAATAAGTCATTAGATATTAAATGTTTCAACTCTTCAACACAATAGATCTTAGCTATTACATTGTAGGCCCAGGATAAACATGACTTTTAATGTAAATCACATGATTCTTCACTGTGTAGAGGTGAACAGCTGTCAGGCCTCAGATATTCTCCTGCCTACTCTGCAAAACTTAGGAGGCTACTTTTGATTGGAATAAAAGTGCACACACTGACTTTTTTAAAATATGGCTTTAATTAATGGTGGGTGGGCAGACTTTTTCAAGGAGATGTATGATGTCAGTGAATATGAACTTTAATGAGAGTAAATGTATTGAGATAAACATGCATCTCTAATTCTCTTCTTGTGGTCATTAGACCCCCAGACCCTGCTTCCCTTTCGTACCAGCAGAAGGTCTGTGGAATCAAAATGAGAACAGGCTGGGCTTGTGTTTGAAGGCAGACATTCTGAGCTAAGCCTCCAATTGGCCTGGCTCTAGAAAACCCCAGGCTCCCAGGGCTGACAGCAACATCAGTTCTTTTTCTTTTCTTCTTTGTACCCCTCAGTGTTTCCCAAATTGCCCAATATGAACATCTTATATTTTTTAAAAGGGGGGTGGGGGGAGGCCATTTTATTTAAAAGAAAAACCATCTATCCCAAGATAGTTACATTTAGCCAATGGTACAAGTTGGTCTATTCACAAATAGACCTTAATTTTTCCCTAATATTTGAAGTTTAATTAATTTACTATAGCTGCTGCTTAGAGCGCCCTCACGTGTCTCTTCACTGCAATATCATTTAGGACCTTGGTGCTGTTAATACCATTTTATTTTAATCATAGCCTCAGAATTTGTCATGCTGCCTTTTAGTTCATGTTTACTTGACAACTCATCCTTGACTGAATCTCATTTCCCACCTCCAACTAAGATTATCAATAAACCCTAAAAAAGATAAATGTACCATGTTCAAAACAAACATTCTACCAAGAAGGAAATTCCACAATTTCTCTCAGTTCTTTTTAAGTCTAGAGAAGCCATGCTATAAAAACTTATAAATTATATTTTAAGTTAGGTATAGGTAAATTACAAGCAAAAGGTACTTGGTCAATAACCACCATTCGTTCTCTTTCATGAACTTGAAAATGGCTTTTAAATTAGTCCACTCTTTCCTCTATGTGAAATAATCACAATTTCTTTGACCTTTCCTAAGTGAATCTATAGCAAAATAGTCCATATATCCAATCAAATACCGTCCTTCCAATCACTGGAAATTTCCATAAAAAGAATAAGAAGAATTCCATAAAAACACTTTCCCCAAAAGTTCTCTCTACCATAGTAAGGAAGTGCAGAAAGAATATGGGACTTGAAATCAAAGCCACTGTAGTTTTAATCTTGCAATAGCAGGGGCTTTGTTCACTGAAATTCAGCTTTTCTCATATGTAAAAGAGTATTTATTATACGGTGTTGTGGGAAGACAAGAGTGAGGCAAATAGCACAGAACCTGGAAAGTAATAGGTGTTCAAAGTTGGTTTCTTTCCCTTCAGTGACAGTTATCTGTACCTTAGGTGATAAAGCTAGGCACAACGGCACCCCGAACTAATACTCAGGAGGCAATCTGATTGCTCCTTGTATCCCTAGACTTTGGTACAGTTTAACATACTAATAAACAGCGATAGAATATTTTCTAGTTTACAAAATACTGTTAAATGTTTTATAATGTATAATATTTCATAAATGTTTTATAATTTATAATATATTCCAAAAACCCCTATGTAATAAAAAACAGGATTCCTACTTTTCAGATGAGAAACTGGGCCTCGGAGGTGCAGTGACTAACCAACACAGTTATGAAGAGCTAGGCTTGGGGGTTCGAACCCAGTCCTGTTCACCCTGTGTCCTTGTGTAGCTCTCCATTAGTCTCTGTTGAGAGTTTGAGAAACACACATAGTATTTATGTATTCTTTTCAAAAGCAGGTAGTTTACTGATGATATTTTTCCCTTTGTGTGTGTCTTTATTTTACGAGCTTTCTAAAATCAATACATTATTTTTTAACACCAGAGGAAAAGTTCTTTTAAATGCCCCAAACGTAAGTGCTAGTTATTGCAGGCATGCCCGAAAAAACTTGGCCTTGGGGAATTCACCAAATTTCTGCTAATGGTGCTGCAAGTTAGAGAGCACTATCCCGATGTGCTATTGGACTGAATTTGGTTCAACAGGTAATTTATCAAGGAAGGACTTTAG